TTGATGTCAGCAAAGGAACAAGCACTTATTTGCCAGAAGTGCTACATGAAGTATCTTCGGAACAAAAATCAGCCTGAACCTGAACCCGAGCAGAACCAGGAAATAGAGGAAGAAGACGACTCCCCGTCCCATATCCTGCCGTTGCTGACCCTTCATGATCTTTTGAATGGATCATCTTCACACAAAAAATGCTGTCTCTGTCTTGTTACCTTTGCAAGAAATGGAACAAAATCATCAGTCTTACCAAAACGTGCAAGACATCACCTGATCTATTCACACAAACTGTGGTGTCCCACCTCATCCCGCGTCTGCTCCATTCACCTTATTGGTAACGACTTAGATCCGTCTACAGAGGTTGTCCTTGATGGTAGAGGTTCCTTGGAATCTCAGTTACCATCAAAATCGTCCGAAATCATTAATGACCTCCTAGAGGTGTCGCACGTCCTTTCACAGAACCAGTCTGCGTTTACAATAAGCTTTTCTTCTCTTGATGACTCGGCATGCATGGCCTGGACAGGTTGGTCCAAAGATCAGTTCCTCGAAATCCACTCGCACTGTTCCCCATATCTTTCATCTGGTATATATACCAAGACTACACACGATGCTCTATTACTGTTCTGGGTAAAACTGAAAACCGACATTTCCTGGAGTCAGTGTTCTTCTCTTTTTGGAATTTCCAAGTCAAGTGTGTCCAAAACTTTCCACTCCATAGTACAGGCATTAGACACATCGATAGTCCCACAATTTCTAGGTCCGGATCACTTGACAAGAGAACAGTTGCTCGGGCACAATACTGTCTTTTCAGAAGCATTTTTTGGAGATAAAGCCACTGCCATATTAGATGGCACCTATATTTATATCCAGAAAAGCTCCGACCACAAGCTCCAGAGAATGTCCTACTGTGGCCAGAAGAAGAGAAACTATCTCAAATTCATGAGCATCGCCTTACCAGATGGCTACATTCTGGACACAGTAGGACCATTCACTGGCAGCGAAAATGATGCTACAATTACAAAAAAAGTCATGGACAAGCTAGTTACTTGGCTACAACCAGACGACAACGTTGTCGTTGACCGAGGTTTTAGAGATGTCCTACCAGTTCTCGAAGCCTCTGGCCTCAATGCTAGCATGCCGTCATACCTGAAACCCGGTCAAAGTCAACATTCTGACGTCCAAGCAAATCTTGACAGAACTATCACCAAATCGAGGTGGATTGTGGAATCCTATCATGGTCGTCTGAAACACTGGACGTTCTTCCGAACGCAATTGGTGTCTAACAGCTTTATCAATGTCATCGAGGCTTTGCTTCGAACCGTCACAGCCTGTCTGAATGGTATTAGAGGACCGATCTACCAGAGATCTCCAGAGAGAGATGCCAAAGATAGGCTAATGGCTGAACGTATGAAGGACCGTTTGACAACACCGAATGGTTTAGCTCAGAGAGTCAAGACAGATCCGGATCTATCTAGACGGGCAAGGTCCGAGTTTGTCAAGATGGATGCATCTTCCGTACTGTTTCCCCGTCTCGATCTTGATTACTTGAGAACCATTACGTGTGGAACGTATCAGATATCTCTGGCTCCTGGTTACATCGCCGAACATTTAAGTGATGACGGAGACTATGAGGTGTGGCTTTACCAGCACTCCCCAGACCTTCTCCGATGTCAAATACATTCTCGACACAAAAGCCAAACGAAATATAACGTTTGGATACGGTTCACCGTTTCACCCGATGTTGAGGCCCCAATAAAGGACTACTACTGCCAGTGCCCAGTTGGAGAGAGAACGATGGGAATGTGTGCGCACATCTCCAGTATCTTGTACTACCTTGGGTATTACAGGACGCTGGAAAACCCTCGACCATTACAACCACAGGTAAAGAAATTCCGACAAAACTTGAAATAGTTTTCCATGCGGCAACGGAGTGCATATGTCGAAAGTATGTTTGGGGCTCGATATGAAAGATCCCCGTTACCATGTGACTAACCAAACTTATAAATATAGGTATTATACAATCGCCCGTAGCTATGAACACTCCCGTAAATGCGAAAACCAACCAAAATCATAAGGAACACGTTTTGTTTGTTGTTCTGTCTATTTGTCAGCCAATGTCTTCAACCACGGGGACTTGTGAAGTAGCCATCTTGGATTTTTTTTATGAAAAAGTGTTTCTCTCACTTTTTTTCATATCTGTGTACATATTCTCAACATACCGAGCAAATACTCTCGTTTTTTTGTTAATTATCTAAAGAAAGTCGAAAATCGGCAATTCAACCATAGGCTAATTCAACCCAACATTTGAAAATGTTCCACCACTTACATTTTGATGATTTTTCCTCTCATCAATAGCATATTACGTACTGTTTAATAGGATAAAAATTGGTTTGCATCCAACGCCCATAAAAGGGTGTATTCTCTAAAAAACACAGTTTTTGTGTCTAAAATGTTATCATCGAAAATGGCATTTTTGAGATTGTTTCTTCCATAAAACAGCCAAATGGCGCGATGGAAACATGATTTTTTGTCACAATCATGCCATGAATGTATTCTTTACGGTGACCATCATTTCCATAGATTTTCATTAATATTTTACATAACATGCACATTTTATCAACACTTAGACAGCTTCTGAAAGGTACAACTTTGAGGAGCCATAAAAAACAAACCATGTGACCTAAATCTTTATAATTTATAGATTTTTGACCACAACGGCATGGGCAATGCACCACCAACAGGAAATTTGAATCAGAGAAGGGGCCGTTTTGGAAACCGGCCCTTTATACAAAGAGTAATGAAGCTACTTAATATCTAAAATAAGTTAGCTAAAATAATTATTGAAATGGGTTGTTATTGTATAAATTGTATCATGTGTCATATTATGTGTGTACTATGTCCATTAATGTATACTATGTAATATGTGATCTCTTGTTACGCACATATACGTGTGGCGTGAGTGTAAAAATAAAACTTGAATAAAACTTGAAACTTGGTTAAACTCATCGTGCTTTCCTCATGTCGATAAAAACATGAGTATAGCTCATTTTACATCTGCAACGCACTGCACTGTGACTACCTACCTATCCTGTGGATGACTGTGTCTTTTCTGTGACTACCTACCTATGCTGTGGATAACTGTGTCTTTTCTGTGACTACCTACCTATCCTGTGGATGACTGTGTTTTTTCCTATACTTGATCTTCAATCGAAAGCTATCGAACGTCAGAGCTATCTTATATGGTACACGTTCGTTATATTATGTACTTTTGTCATTATATGATGTGCTTTTGTCATTATATGATGTGCTTTTGTCATTATATGATGTGCTTTTGTCATAATATGATATACATTTGTCATTATATGATGTACTTTTGTCATTATATGATGTACATTTGTCATTATATGATGTACTTTTGTCATTATATGATGCACTTTTGTCATTATATGATGTACTTTTGTCATTATATGATGTGCTTTAGTCATAATATGGAGTACATTTGTCATTATATGATGTGCTTTTGTCATAATTTGATGTACTTTTGTCATAATATGATGAACTTTTGTCATTACATGATGTACTTTTGTCATAATATGGAGTACATTTGTCATTATATGATGTGCTTTTGTCATAATATGATGTACTTTTGTCATTATATGATGTACTTTTGTCATTATATGATGTACTTTTGTCATTATATGATGTACTTTTGTCATTATATGATGTACTTTTGTCATTATATGATGTACTTTTGTCATTATATGATGTACTTTTGTCATTATATGATGTACTTTTGTCATTATATGATGTACTTTTGTCATTATATGATGTACTTTTGTCATTATATGATGTACTTTTGTCATTATATGATGTACTTTTGTCATTATATGATGTACTTTTGTCATTATATGATGTACTTTTGTCATTATATGATGTACTTTTGTCATTATATGATGTACTTTTGTCATTATATGATGTACTTTTGTCATTATATGATGTACTTTTGTCATTATATGATGTACTTTTGTCATTATATGATGTACTTTTGTCATTATATGATGTACTTTTGTCATTATATGATGTACTTTTGTCATTATATGATGTACTTTTGTCATTATATGATGTACTTTTGTCATTATATGATGTACATTTGTCATTATATGATGTACTTTTGTCATTAAATGATGTTCTTTTGTCATTATATGATGTATATTTGTCATGATATGGAGTACATTTGTCATTATATGATGTACCTTTGTCATAATATGATGTACATTTGTCATTATATGATGTACTTTTGTCATTATATGATGTACTTTAGTCATAATATGGAGTACATTTGTCATTATATGATGTACTTTTGTCATTATATGATGTACTTTTGTCATTATATGATGTACATTTGTCATGATATGGAGTACATTTGTCATTATATGATGTACTTTTGTCATTATATGATGTACATTTGTCATTATATGATGTACATTTGTCATTATATGATGTACAATTGTCATTATATGATGTACATTTGTCATTATATGATGTACTTTTGTCATGATATGATGTGCTTTTGTCATTATATGATGTACATTTGTCATGATATGGAGTACATTTGTCATTATATGATTTACTTTTGTCATAATATGATGTACATTTGTCATTATATGATGTGCTTTTGTCATTATATGATGTACTTTTGTCATGATATGGAGTACATTTGTCATTATATGATGTGCTTTTATCATTAAATGATATGCTCGCCAAGGCTCACAAAATTAAAACTCCTAAGACTCGTTTCATAAAAGCTCATATGAAATGAAAACAAATTTAAGATACTTTTTATCACATAACTCAGAAATATACATTTTGACAGGTTTTGGAGCAAAAATGTAAAGGGCTTAATTTATGACGTCACGTCATTGTCCATATTATGACATCACAATCGATTTCTGACTGGCACAGCCAATGAAAAACGCTCCAGGATATATTACACTAGTGACACATGTAAAAATATTACACGGGCGAATTCACTGGATAACAGGACGATTATGTGATAAAAAATATAGAAGTGTCAACACAGAGACACTCGCTTGATATAATAATCTGTCGTAGTGTATACATGCTATTAAAATATCTCATAATGTATACATGTTATTGTAATCTCTCATAATGTATAAACATGCTATTTTAATCTCTCGTTAGGTATACACATCCTACTATAATATCTCGTAAGGTATATACATGCTACTATAATCTCTCGTAAGGTATATACATGCTACTATAATCTCTCGTAAGGTATATACATGTTATTGTAATCTCTCATAATGTATACATGTTATTATAATCTCTCCTTATGCATACATGCTATTATAATATCTCGTAATGTATATATTCTATAGATATACTATAGCCAAATTGATAAAATATTGCATACCTGTTACAAGATACAACAAGATACAAGAATTTGTATTTTCCATCGATTTTGCAAAACATACAACATGAGCTACAAAGAGCTTGTAGTTCGACACATGGTATATAAGCACAATAGCACATTTAGCACATTTGTATACAGCACATAAAATTTAAATTTAGATTACACAGTAGACATTAGGGATGCGTACATGCTGTAACATATAATCATTATTATATGATCTGCATGATAAATCTCAGTTGTTGACGAACAAACTTACAACACAGGATTTCGAGAGATACAGGTTGATGAAGTTTTATGGTCGCCACTGTGATCTCATTGGGGACATACCACTTCTTCGTGCAATATTTATCAGTTTAATTCAGTTTCCACTACCAAGGTAATCATTTTGAGAACGTGATGTTACTTTGATTTGACCAGGAATTACATGTCAAGAGTCATCGTTTAAGCAGATGTATTTCTAAAAGGCATGCATGATTTATTTCTTTTTTTCATATTTTGCTCTAGTTTTATCCAATAATAAACAAGAAAATGTGATTAAACCAATTAGAAACCAATTAAATGAGTAAATGTTAGTATGTTTCACTATTTATATGTATTGCGTTTTAATTATAAAGTCGAACAGATGCAATTACTATCATATTCTAAATTATGACGTTTGGCTTTGTTCTTTGTGATATATTCTTTGGCACTTTATTTTCTATTTGTCAACAAAACAATAATTCCAATTCAACATCGATAAATCAATGACAAAATGTGAAAAAAAGAAAAGATTCGAACGGGGACCCCGGAAAAGGTATGAATAAAATCGGGTTTTCCGGAAGAGTAAGCGTCTCGCCATGTAAATCTAGGACAAATTCGAGTAATGCCACTTCCTCACATCGAGAACTGATGTAATGACAACATAATACCCACAATGCTCACTTATGAGGATAGTAAAAATCATAAACCTTCATATCAAACAAATAACTAGCATATATCATTCCAAATGCGAACATGATGGCGACCGTCACATTGCCAACAGTCTTTTATAACCTGCACATTTACAAACTTTGTGTTTTTCGTTTTTCCGTCAGCAGTCGACATCTATCACAAAATCATGATATTCAGGAAAACTTCCAAACCCAACTGCGACATGTAAAACACGTATGGGATGATTTTATCAAGAAAGAAGAAGTCCACGTCTGGAAAGGCAAGGGTTTATGACAAGAAAGGATGCCTTGTGTATAATGTACAGGCTCCCCGATACGCATCGACTCTACCAAACGATAATGTACTATTATTATATATTTGCGATTCGATGGAAGCAACTACCTCAAAATTAATAGTGTCGATACTTTAACTTTGCCAATGATTTTTCCCTCAAACTTCATCATATTTATCAATCTGTTATGTGTTCAGTGGATAATAATATTTTTTTAAATAAACAAAAAGCAGGAATATTACTTAATATCATCAAAAAAAGTGTGATCATTAGATATTGATGTGACCGAACAAGAACTTAGCCTAACAGTCATGATGAGTAAGAAAGAAAACCAGTTTAAGGTGGTTTTAACTAAATATTTTGTGAATATGTCATTTAATAATCTGTAAAGAGTCTACCTCGTCAGATCTGTAGGAGATTTACACGCCGATCTGGGAATGTCGTTCAGCCAAAATTTGATATTAGAATACAACCGTTTGTAGCTATCAGAACGATGGATACGTTCACATAAAGAACACCAACTATCGTGATTCTTGATCATTTGATTGATTGATGTAGTTTTAGTCCACGAAAAAATATTTTCTAATTTCCGAATCTTCATATTACTTACATGCATTGCTTTCCCCAGTTCATAAGCGCTTTTGAAGTCTTTTGCGTCAAGATAAGACCTAGGAGGGAAATAAAGAGAATAGTTCGTTCCTCCTCTCATTACTGGAATTGTGGAAGGAGAGAAAATATACGTTTTAAATGCTTTTTCAGTAACATAATCTACACACAGGGAATTTTCAAACGCCAAATAATATTTATAATGCCTCTGAAGGATATCCATACAACTATTTTCGTTGGATCTTGCGCATCGGTATGTCCCACAGCCACCGTACACGTGAATATCGATGGCTTTCTGGAGGATTTGTTTGTAACGTTCCCTTTTGCTTGGGGTCCCACAATTAGATACCATCCAAGCAGTCATTCTTTCCTTTTTCATCCATTGAGTAGTGATGTTTGGTGTTGTAATCTTACTGGGAACTTGCTTGAATTCTGAGTAAGATGTTAACACATCAGAATCTCTTCTGTAAGTGAAAGTCCAGTTAAATAGGTTGCTCCATTGTGAAAGGTCGTTGTGATAGTGAGGTGGGGATTCCATACCATGCATAATCCATAACTGAGCACGTGACTTTTTGGGTGGGTTTATTTTTCCTAGTCGGGGTCCATGAAAAATTACAACCTTTGCAGTGTCAAAGTCTTTTGATCCCCATACCATTTCACATGGGTACTCGCATCCTTCGAACTCCTTTCCACTAACCCATTCAGGCTTGTTGAAGTATAAGACTTGTATTACCTCTGGATATGTTTTAACTAAAAAGGCAGGTTGATTCAGGTTCAAATGGTATCGAGGCACTCCGATCATCTTTGCTGTTAAAAACATCATTACAGCAAACACCACCAATATCACCGTTCCCTGCTGGACATATCTGGTGTTTTGACTGAAATATCAAAGGAAAGTGCAATTAATGTATATATCACAGCTCGAAATGAAAATATGCAGTATTTTGTTTGCATAAAGTTATACGTGGTGGTTCATATCCATAGGACACGACTGTATTGAACACAATAGTTCCCAGTCCTGGTGCAGTTTAGTCTCAATCACGACGGTTTTGAAATCTACAGAAACATGTTTTATCAGCGCCTTTTTTGTTAATTTTGTTCCATACCGCTTTGAAAAACCAATAGGAAGTTTTATCTTACACTCGATGTCCATCTTCCCTTATACAGTCCTCTAATACCATACACCCAGTAGTAATAGTTATTTTATACGAGTTGCAATACGGCTAACACGACACATAAATAAACATCTCAAAATACAACATCAAAAGTGTCCCAGGTTACATTTGTTAATCACACTGCTGTATTTGTCTATATGGCCAGGCGTGAATATGAAAAACAAGTATTGACAGGACCAAAAATTGATATAATTCGACTTTTGATAACCACAAACATACCGCTTCGAGATTCGCCTCTCGCAAAATGAGTTTAGTTTAGTTTCAGTTCGGTTGTTTCCGTTCTGTTTCGTTAATATTTTTAGCAGTGTTCGGACGGTACATTCGGTGCAATGTAAAGTTGGACAGTTATTCGTTATTCGTTATTCGGAATAACGAATAACTTTCTAACTTTACTTACCAATAGTATGCAGATTAAAGTTCAACATGTATGTATATATGTCAGTCGTTATGTTAAAAAGCATGAAAAAATGTATCATCTGAGCTACTCAAAATCGAACACTATTGGCAGACTTTGGGCTTAACCTTTAGACGTGAAGTATCCACAACTGTTTTGCCTTCTTGTTAACAAATCCTTGATAAGTTTTGTGTCATCTCGAATTGATGATAATATTAATGACTCTACAAATTGATTATTGAGAAGTAGGTTTAGAACAGAGTTGAATAGAAACAGAATGAATAAAACATGTTAACATAATCAATTAAACATGTCAACGAAACTACAGAATTCAAAATTGTTACCGAAGCATTAGTAAAGCTCTCATGTATATCAAAACCCCACTGAACTGTGACGGTGGATCTCTTCCTACGGACATGTTCACACCATGGTGTTCTATACTTAAACCTCAATCGACATCTAGTGAATACAAAGTACATTCTGACAAAACGTACAGTATTAATCTAGGAGTTGACATACCTAGCAACCGTTTCACGCTCATCTTAATATATTTAAGCCCAACCAGATTATATTGTAAAGGCCTCCATGCTGTAATAAGATACTGAAATAGAAAGACTTAAAACCTTGTTAATTTTATGTCAAATTGATATTTCTCATTCCAGTTTACACGCATTTACTTTTTATTTGTCTGTACTAGCACCTTGAGTCATGCCTGTTTGTGTTTTTGCACGTTCACTCTGGTTAACTATGTCAAGTATTGATTTTGTCTCTTTATATGATTGTTTGGTGGTCATTATCAATTGCAATACCATCTGCCAAATAACGCCTAATATTTTCAAAGTCTTCTATGATTCAAACATACTTAAAGATATGGGCCCAGTTGTTCAAAAGGTCAATAGCTTAATCAGTGATTAGCGCAAATTTTAATTTTTGAGTAAAACACCACCATTGGATTAGTTACAACTTTCCAGATATCAAATGTTTAGTAAAGTGAGTTTACATGCAAAAGTGTGAGGTTTTACCTTGAATATTGACGAAATGATTAAAGGTTGAAAACTGTCTTTAACAGTGATTAAGCTAACCACCTTTTGAACAACTGGGCCCTGATATGCACCATTAGGTTCCGTCATTTCCTACACTAGTTAATTTGTCCGTGTGGTATATTTGCTATGTGCCTTTATTGTAAGCGTAGACAGGGTCACGAGTGAGTGACTGCGTTATGTATAGCGTCAGTATCAGTTTTTATAGCTTTTCGTCGATATCATACTGCCTGAACATCTGTTGTTAAATGAATCAATTATGAGTGTTGTTGGGTTACCTATGAGAGTTCAAAGTGTAGTACCATGTTAGGGCTAATATGGTGAAAATGAGTATTTTTAGTGATACCATAGATTTACATACTTGCCCGTTAATCATCAACTAAAGGGGAAAAAGGAAGAATTTAAGCTACATGAAAGTCTAATGGTAGTTCAACACCTAGATTAACAAAGATCCGTTAGATAGTATGTGTTCACGTTTACATCTGCAAAACAACTACTGTACTTGTTTTCTTTTCAACATAAAACGTGTACTTCATATTAAACTTCCTGCACACCGCACGTTGGGCAACCGACTATGTTGACACAGAGATAGATATGTGTCGGCAGGTGCGCACCGCGACAACAGGCCACACCATCCCTGCTACCCCAAATATACCTTCGTCCTCGTCGACGCCAAGAAATATATCCTGGACACGTTTTGATTGATAATCATACATGTAGTATACGTAATGTTAACGTGTTTCAGAACGAAGTCCGATTAAATAAAACATGTGAACCAAATTATATTTTTTATACTTCCGGTGTTAAAACATCACACTGCTCCGTTCCTGTTTCTACATTAGTGTATTAGACAGTGTACTTACCTCATATCAGTATGCTGTAGTGATATGATTACGTGATCTATTTTCCAATCCCGGTCAAATTGAATACTAAAACATGATTATAGCACGCACTTACATCAATAGCTCATTACCATATGACGGCCCGCTTCACCTAATGGATAGTCATGATCACACCATGGGAATGCATACTTAAGTCTCAGTCGACAGTTAATGAATATCCGTTCTATTTTAAAGCAACGTATTAAATATAAGGTGACCAAACTAACAACAGTTTCTCCCAATCTGTATGTGTTAACCTTCCCGAATTCAGTGGTCGTTTACTTCACGTAATATAAATTTATTGATATTTGATATTTGAAATTTGGTATTTTGAAATAAAGTTTTCTTCAATTTAGTTATAGGTGATGTAGGAGGGTATAGGTGGTATATGAAGTTAAGGTGACGTATGAAGGTATAGAAAGTCGAGGTGGTATAGTTGGTATAGGTGATGTAGGATGGTGTAGGTTGTATAGGAAGTAAAGGGTATGTGATAGGTATAGGTGGTATTTAAAGTAAAGCCGATATAGGAAGTATAGTCGATGTAGGAAGGTATAGATTGTTTAGGAGGTAAAGATGATCTAGAAGAGTCTAGGTGGTAAAGGACGTATAGGTGATGTTGGAGGGTATAGATGGAATAGGAAGTAAATATAATGTAGGAGGGCGAAGGGGTAAAGGTGAAGTAGGAGGGAAAAGGGGATATAGGACGCATAGGTGAGACTGTTCCAGCTTTTAAAAACCTAGGGGTATACTTTGACAGTTCTATGAACATGGAGAAACAAGTGAACGCTATTTCCAAATCCTGTTACCACCAGATCAGGAACATCGGCTGAATTCGGCAGTTTCTAACTGCAGAAGCATGCAAGATGTTGGTGCATTCACTTGTTACCTCTTGGTTGGATTATGGTAACGCCCTGCTTTGTGGTATATTTGACAAACTAGCTAGTCGTCTGCAGAGGGTTCAAAACACTGCAGCACGGCTAGTTACTCGTCCTCGAAAGAAAGAGCACATCACACCTGCGCTTTATTCGTTGCCCTGGTTACCTGTACGATACAGGTCGCAGTACAAAATTCTGGTATACACATACAAGGCACTGAATGGAACAGCTCCTCAGTAGCTACAGGAACTTGTTCCCCTGTATCAGCCGTCAAGATCACTGCGGTCGGAGTCAGAATCTTTGTTGTGTGTCCCAAAATCTCGTACTGTGACCTACGGAAACAGATGCCTTGGGAGGGTTTCGGCTACGCTGCTATAAGGAAGTCAAATACCCTGGCCAAGTTCAAGAGGGACATAAAAACTCACCTCTTCACGTCTGCATTTTAGAATCATTGCAAAGACGTCATGTAAATACCACCCTTTTATTTGTTCAATTATGTGCACATTGCTTGTTATGAAAGTGATTGCAAGCCTTTGTTGTTTGTTTTCACAATTATAACCATTACTATTATCCATATGTTGTAAAGCGCCTTAGAGTAATTTTACAAATTATATAGGGCGCTATATAAATGCTGTATTTTATTATTATTATTAGGATGGTATAGGTGGTATATGACGTATAAGTGATGAAGGAAGGTAGAGGTGGTTTAGGAAGTATAGATGGTATAGGAAGTATAGGTGGTGTAGGAGGGTATAGGTGGTATAGTAAGTATAGATGATATAGGAAGGTATGAGTGTTATAGGAAGTATAGAAGATATAGAATGGTAAAGGTGGTATAGGACGTATAGTTACTGTAAGAGGGTATAGGTGATATAGGAAGTATAGAAGATATAGAATGGTAAAGGTGGTAAAGGAAGTAATAGTACATTAATACAGCACATGAGCTTTCTTTATGAATTGATATACCACAGCTTATACATTTCTAGAAGTATTATATATAATGACAATGTTTCAATCCGCTGAGGTATAGAAAAGAGATAGAGAATATCGAAGTATAATTATAATTCGACATCGATAACTAGAGAAAAATATGAACCTGAGGAATATAAGCAGAGACGTTTTTGGTGGTTTAACTTGACGTAACTTGACGTGATTCAGTCCAAATGTATCCACAAAATTCGAAATCGGGAATGGTGATCCCGTCCCTGATTAGCAGTTATGTGGTGAGTCCCGGGAAGGCTTAGAAACAAGTCATTGCATGTAATCTGCCTATATAGCTTGTACTTATTTTGAAATATTTATATCTGCTATATTGTATTCCATAAAGGGATCGACGTGTCCAGTACAAAAACCAACAGCTACGACGTTGACACGTGTGGAGGTATGGAGGTGCTATTTTTTTATAGTATTCAAGCGGTTCCTGATTATTTGGCACGATTACTAGTTTACCATATCATACACAATAAAATACTTATTATTGTATCTCACAAGAAAATTACAGAATGGGGAATATTGTCTGCTAATAGAAATCGAAATATAAAAGTTTATTTGTATCAAAACTGCAAATGTCTCATGATTTAGCCGTTGCTGTTTTACGTAAAGCGACACAGATATAGTTACAAATATAGAGATGATTTGATTGTATTTTTTCAAACGCCTTTTATAAGCTGTATTCGGGTCGAGCCACCCCAGCAGTGTTTCATTCCTCCAACCCTTTTTCACACACGTACATAGTACTCTCGTGTACATCGGCGATCTTAAACAATCGCTACAACTAAAGGAGCGGTCCGTCCGGCTTTTTATCTAACATGGAGGACAAGGTAAACACAGATTTAATTGAATCTTGAAAAAATCGGAATGAAGGTTCCGTTCGTTAGACTTTGTCCATTCAAATTGACGTGGATGACGAATTTCATTTTGGATTAAAATGCCCCCATCAACGAGTCTAGGGCAGAGACGGAAACAACGGTGGGGTTCAAAAATTTCGGGTTGTCTATATTTCCTCACTAAAATTGCAGACAACAGGAAATGTCAACTAGACTTAGTGTCCGGAGTGAGGTTTTACTGTATTGTTAATCATAGTGAAATAATTATAAGCATCACTATGTTTCCATCGTACAAGTTATGCTTCATATATTAAAAAACGATTAACATTGAAGAAACCTAAAAAAATAAATTGTACTCAAAATCTGTCCCGGGTGTTACGGCACGATTTCTCAACCCGACACGATTTCTTACCCAGGTGAGAAATCATGCTTAAATTGCTGAGTTCGCAACACGATTTCTCTCCTCTGCACGATTTCTCACCCGGGTGAGAAATCGTGTTAGGAGAAGGCATATTGCCCGTTGCCATGAGTACGAACACTGAAATTGATTTTGGGGGACTGTGGTATATTTCGACTTGTTTACTACTGTACAAACTTTAGACTTGTTCGAACTTCAATATTTAGCCTACCCGGTCCGAAGGAACATTGTGAGTTTATGCCATACCGCAACGTCCGTCGTCCGTCCGTCCGTCAACTTTTTCTTTAAAATGCCACATGTCCTGAACGACCCAGTAGATTTTGACTTAATTTGGCCTGGAGCATCCTTAGACCAAGGGACTCAATTTTGTATAAACGATGGTTGTGCCCCCTCCCCTTGGGGCAGATGGGCTGGTACAAATAGGGGAAATAGAGGTAAAACCTTTGGAATCCTTCTTCTACCATAGAGATGAAGTAATTTCATCCCAATTCAGTCTGTAACTTCCTTTTGCCAAGGGCACTACATTTTGCATAAACGGTGGGTGTGCCTCCCCCCTGGTGGCAGAGGGACGGGCCCCATATGAGAAATAGAGGTAAAACCTTTGAAATCCTTCTTCTACCACATAGATTTAGGGATTTCGTCCCAATTCAGTCTGGAGCATCATTGGGCAAAGGGGACTCAATCTTGTTAAAATGGTGGGGCTGGACCCCCTGGGCGGAGAGGGGCGGTGCCCAATAGAGGCAATGGAGGTAAAACCTTTAAAACCCTGCTTCTACCGTAGGGATAATGGGGTTTTTATCCTAATTTGGTCCGGAGCATCCTTGGGCAAATAGGACTTGATCTTGTATAAACGGTGGGTGTGGCCCCTTTGGGTGCTGAGGGTGGGGCCCAAAAGGGAAACTGAGGTTGAAATCTTTAAAATCCTTCTCATGTACCATTTGAGGGATTTTATCCGAATTTGGCCTGAAATATCCTTGTGCAAAGGGGGGGGGGGGTCTTAATTTTGTATTAATGATAGGTGTGGCTCCTTTGGGTGAAGAGTTGCGGGGCTCAAAAAGGGAATTTGAGGTTTAATTCTTTAAAATACCTCTTCTTCTGTACCATTGGATGGATTGTTTGTAATAAGAATAATTTCCCATGGTTGCTTAATTATCCAGGTGAGTGATACAGGCCCTCTGGGCCTCTTGTTTTATTGTATCTTATCATCTTTGACTTACAATGGTATACAAAGATATGTAACATACATAAGTTTCCGAACAGATCTAAATCATGGCCTATCATTTGCTGAGTCATTTCAGGCTATAACAATTTCTGCTCAGATGTATGGACTACAATAAATGTTGTTTAATTGAATATTTTAATCGTGTTCTTGGAGATGGGAAAAAAGGCCAACATCCTCCGCAAAATGGCCGCTGCAGACTGGCTTCTGATAAGTCAAAATGTATGCATTGTCCAATGTCTCTATGTAAAAGTGTGCAGTGTCACTACGAACACTACTGCGATCTGCGTTGATTTTTTTTTATTTGACAAAATGTCCGTGTTAGGTCGGGTCCTGGTTGGTCGACATTTAGATATTGACCGATGTTATAGATTTGGTATGTAGATGTATTATGTACGGTTGTCAACGGTTAGCCTGTTATCCGGTTACTGGGCGAAAGACCGCGAACCGGTTACCAAAATCCTTATAAAGTCGGACATTTACTTACCCCTTTTTGGAGCCCCATGTTTCCCTGGCTTAGAACTATCTGCATTTGTATAGATTCGACCGAAATTGGATAGTTTTGTAATAAAACAGTGTTCAGGGTTTACATGTTACAGTTAATTTTGTACTCTGATTTAAATACTGGCAAAGGGTGTCGCCAACACCATAAAAAATCTGAAAACAATTTGAAAGGAAGCCAGGATACAAAGCTGTGATATATCAAATTTCAGATAGAACGCGCCTTTGCATGCGAGATGTAAAGTTAATATGAAGAGTACACACTTGAATGAGCAAGCATGTTTTGAAACGTTTGTCTAGCAAATTTTG